AAGAAATGTAAAGGAGTCCTATTATAGGCAAAAATACTATAACGAATTGAGAAATGACTTCGTTGTCAAGGAGAAGCCAGTTTGCAATAGCTTTGCAGATAAAGAACTGCCCAGGCCAATCTGCAACAATTGGTATTATATGGTTAGAAAGATACTCTCTCATCGGTTCTTGATTATGTATGATTTGAAGAGCTTTTGTATAATTCTCAATGCTTTTCAAATTACTTTTGACAAAATCAAAAAGAATGTCATTTTGTATATACCAGTTATTTTTTTTCTGCCAACCTGTCATCATAACTATGCAGTATTAGTTTTTCTATAAGATCATCATTAAAACCTTTACCAATATAATCTTTTAAATGATCATGATAAGAAATCCCAAGGTTGGCCATAAATCATTCATTGAGATGTTTTATAATTAGCTCATCATCAACGATTTTTGGATTAAGTACCCTATTACGTGTATAGCTGGTATAGGATATGAATTCGTTACTATTGTTGCCATATGTGCTGCCCAAGATGTATCAGTAGTATCAGGCTGTTGCCATAGAAGATGAATATTATAGTAATCGTTAATATTCAATACGAAAAAATTTTCTGAGCAATTCTTAAGAGTCTTTTCTATATATTTTTTATAGGCCTCTGAAGTTTTTTTCTTTCTACAATCTACTGCTCTTGCAGTAGTAGTTATACCAATATTAGCCAATGTATTCAGGCCTTCATTGCTTGTATCTACAGAATCCAAATAGTATGCTAAGTTGAATTTAAAAAAATTAATTTTGGAATTATTTAATGATGCAAAAAGATAATATAAAAATACTATTAATCTTTTCATATACCCTATTGTCTGTTCACAATGTTCAAATAGTCAAGCTAATAAATGGAGTTGATTGAAAAAATCCTTGAGGCTTGGATTAATTTGTGGAAGTAACTCTCATATTTTATCAAACAAATATATAGGACCTTCTTTCCATACTTGTTCTCTCTAATAAAATATTTTTGCTATCAATTTAATAACTCTAATAAGATTAATCATACTTACCTCTTCCTCATTTATGGCCTCTATATCCTTCCTTATTGTAGCTTTTGCATCTCTTAATTCTACATTTTCTTTAATTTTAGCTTTTATTTCTTTTTCAATAATGTCTTCTATATCTACAATTACATCGTTGTCATCTTTAACTAAATCTTCTACTACATCTTTTACTTCTTCGACTACATCAGCTTCAACTAAATCTACGTCAGCTTCAGCTATATCTGCGTTAGATTCAACTACGTCTACGTCTATATCGGCTTCAACTTCTTCAACTAAGACTTTTGCCTGTTTGGCTTTTCTCAATTGATTCTGTACACAATTCATGTTAGTGTTTGTAGTCGATTTGCATTAGTCGATTTTATCGGCTTAGCCGGGCTTAGTCAGCCGATTTTTTGAAAAATCGGCTTAGTCGACTTTATGTTAGACTATATTAAAAATTACAGTAACCAATCAAATTTAGGCCGATTTGGTAGTTTACATTATCCTTCCCCAAAAATTCTAAAAAAGAAATTCAACGAACATAAAATACGAGACAAAATTAAACAAAGATACTGTACGCCACTGACTAAAGTACCCCGGGTACTATTCAATAAACCATCAAATTTCTTGAATAGTACCCGCTCGGGTATTAATTACGAGGGGAGGGTACTATAATAGGGGGTACTTTATATGGTTTTAATATTATTTAATAAGAATCTCGAATCTAAATCTAACTAGAATAATACCCGGGTCTTTTTCATAGGAGTATTATGGCAGGGGGGTACTTTAGTCAATAGCGTACGGTAATCGACTTCGATTTTAAATGTCAACTTAGTCAAGTGATAAATAATGATCGACTGCAAATACTAGTACGTACATACGTACCAATCATATCTATTTTAAATCACGTGCCTTTAATTAACCAATTAGGATGATCGACTACAGCTTAGCCGGCTAAGCCGATTTTTAAATATCGACTTAGTCTAGTCGATAAATTTGGATTGACTACAAACACTAATTCATGTAATAATCATGATATAATTTGTTACCTTTTATCCAAGCCTCCTTGATCAAACTATTAGGTTTGGCCTCTTTCTATTTATTTTCTGCTAATGTACGAAATTGACAGGATTTAGTAGTTTTACATTCATACACTTTTTAATTTCAGACATATTGTTGTTAGGTAAATTAAAATATAATATCAACTAAATCAACTTGAATCAACTGAGTTTGTTAAAATATAGAGCGAAAGCTTCAAGTTTGCTTAGTCGTTTAGTCACATTTCATAGAAGAGATAGATTATTCGAAGCCTCTAAAAAAAGTATTGTAAAACGTACAAAAAATTTTTTACAAATATGATTAGCCCGGGCTTTTTAATAGAAGTATTGTAAAATGTATAAAAAAAATAGTATAATATTTGGGTGATTCAGATAATTATTTTTTAATTTAGGACAGTCTTTCCTGGAGTTCTCTCCTTCAGATGAGACTGTTCCAAATTAGAAAATATTTATCTGAGTCACTTGATTGTCACACAATTGATAAACAATTTTTTTTATATGGTTTACTATAAATTTTTGTTATGTGAAAAATATCATATATTGATTAGCCAATAAAAATCATGAATTTTTATAAATAAAAAAATCAAAATTAAGAGAAATTTAAAGAAATTTAGTCAAAATTTATAGTTAAAAATTCAAG